TGAATTATGGTACTTTAGCAGTTGTTGCTGGATGTAAATGCATGAGACAAATGATACCACAAGACAAAATTAACTATAAACTACAGCGTGCAAGTAACACTATGCAGTTCTATAACATAAAATTCCAACGACCAACATGATGATTCATTACAGTAGTTACATAATTGAGCTCATCCAACATGATGTTTGATTTTCAAGTTATACTAATAGAAAATGCATTATTGGAAGAGACAAAGTAATTTATACTTCAAAAGAAATTAATTTTCAACAAATGCTAATGCACGTATATGAGAATGGGGTAATTTGTCTTCACAATATTACTTTTTACTTGTATATATTTAATAAAATAAATTTTCCCATAAAAAAAAAGTGTTGTTCCCATTTTTTAAATGAATTTAAAAACTATAAAAAAAAGTGTAGAAGATTTAAAAAAAAATAAAGTGTTGTCCATATAAATACTGTGGATTTATTTTGTCCTGAGATTATGTATTTGGCAAAAAACTTGTTATAATTTTACTTATATGAAAATATTATAGACTATTTATTATTAAAAAGAAAATTGAATTCATCATTGTGTCTCTGACTGTCTATCAAAGAATATATTTGGGGAAAAAAAGTTATTCCAAGAAATGGTGCAAAAAAAAAAAAAAGAAGAGTATTCTCTGGTGCTGCATCAGTAGCTAGCTGTGTTTCTATTTTAGGCTTAATCACTTTTTTAGTTCTTATATATATATACACTTGCACGATTTTTTTTTATAATTTTATTTCTATTATTAGAAATAGTAAGTTTAAGTTTCTATACAAGCATTTTTTTTTTAAAATTAGTCTCTGTTGTTATTATTTTTAATATTATTTATGTGGCCTTGAAATCTATTAATTTTTTAATGTGGGATATTGTCTCATGTTATAAATCTTATATATCTTCTCTTGGTTTGTAATATTCATTTCTAAACGATCATGATTTATGCTACTATTATTGGAGGACTAGGCCTCCAAGATTTAAACATGTGACAACCCATTTTAAAGGCACAACTCATATTCCAATTCATCAATCATCACATAGAGTTGAGTAAACATTTTCATGCCTCGTCATGAAAATGTTAACAACAAATAAATGAAAATAGACATAAATTAACGATAAAGACTGATTTAAAAAAAATGTATTTGTGTAGGAATTAAAACGTACTATTTCTAATAATAGAAATTAAAAAAAATGAAAATATAGAGACAAAAAGATAATTAATCATTTGTTTTATTATAACAATTAGCGATGATTTCTTAAAGCATTGCCTTTATTATTATTATTAACAATGTTTTTAATCCACGGTATGTTTGCTTTGATCAAGGATATGCAACAAAAAAAGGTGAAGTTGATTTTTTTTTTTAATGAATGACAAGGAAATTCATATTTACTAATAATGTTTGAACTCCCTTCAATATTGACAAAGAACACTTGATTTAACCAGAAATAAATACAAGTAATATCTAATTTATTAAATCAAGTATAGGAATAGGGATGAATGTGTGTGTATAAGAGGGTTGAAACGATATCGGTGTAACTTTTACTAAGTATTACACTGCTTAATAACCTATATTAAATATGAATTTTATAAATCCAACTGTTAGATTAAAAGTTCTTTACTCTTAGATCATATATATATATATATAATTTTGTATTAATTCAAGATGATTTGATACTTCATTCTTATAAAATAAAATTATGTAATATATACATTTCAAAATATAATAAAATATGAACACTTTGATAACCTTCAAGTTGTTGTTCAATTTTAACAAAATTTGGTATAAACATATAAAGTGATATGAAGTTATAATTCAATGGTTGGATTTATAAAATTCACATTTAATATAAAATTATTGAGCGGTATATTACTTAGTAAAAGTTACATTGGCGTTGTTTGAACCCTCTTCATATATATATATATATATATATATATATGTCACATACACATATACCCACTTTAAATTTCTATAAAACTTTATTTATTTATTTTAGAATTTACTTGATATTTATGTAATTCTTATTCTATTTTAAATTTTTCAAATGAAACTTAATTAATGTAATTTCGTGATTACTACTTTATGTTGAAAGTTTTGGTTTTTTAATATTTTTTTGTCAACAAAATATTTAATTAATTTTTTATAATTACAAATATATCCAATACTCGATAGAGACAAAAATAAGACACAAATTTCATATTTATTAAATATAAGGACAAAAATGAATATAAGATACAGAAACAAGAACAAAGATATTAAAACTCATATCGACCCTACCCATTGTCATGTTTATAATTCTTCCATTCTTTGGTTAGTCTAAAGAAACAAATTTCATATGGGAATCTCTATAAAAACTAGATAGATTTAGATGTAAAGTAAGGTTTTATTTATTTTTTATTTAAAAATAATTGAAGTGATGTTTTGATGACTTATTTCTTTTCATCCACTCTCATTTTGATTTTCCAAAATAATATAGATGACCATTATCACTTAGTTTTTCAACACTTCTATTAGAAGAGTTTTGCAATTCATTAAATATGATAAAAACACTCATATTTGATTAACACATCCTTACTTGAGATATTTAAGAACAATCACTCATTTTGCTAAACCCCAAATTCAATATTTCAGGGTTTACAATCCTACACTTGTAGTCATAACAAGCGAAAAAAATAAAAAATGGTTGAAATAAAAAAAATTCAACTACAAGAAACCTTACAAAATCTAATAACAACCTTTCATTTTAACTATATTATTCATGACTAGAATACTTAAACATGAAAAAATATTTGTTGCTAATTGGAAAGTACCAAAATTAGGGTGTCAAAAAATTTGTACCCACAGACATCTGTGAAAAATACCTATTATGGGTAAAAAGTAGATATTCAAAATGGGTACCTCAGATAACAGGTACGAGTATTTTCTATACTTGTATGTTAATAGATGAGTAAGAGTATTATAGTATCCGTATCCATGAGTTTCCGTTAATATTCAGTTACATAATTATATATTAAATTTATTTAAACTTATAGGGAATGAAGTACTTTAATAATTAAATTTAATTTTTAAATCAAAAAATCTTTATTAATAAAATTGTGTGTAATATTTAAATAATTTAAGTTTATTCTTTTGAACTATTTTTTTAAAATTATTATAATAAATTGTAATTTAAATAGTAATTATTATTAAAATGTTATTTTCAAAATATTTTTTAACAATAAATATTCACGAATATATGCAAATATTGAAAAAAAATATGTGAATATTCACTTAACAGATACCTGCACGAATATGGGATGAATATGTGATCGGTATTTATATGGCAAGTTGGGTAGTAGGGGACTAATACTTGTACTCATCTTGCATCGTTGACATCCTTTACCAACATCTTGCATTGTGGTTCATATTAGATAATTAGAAAAGAATAATCATTTAAGAGAGAGAATAGGTGTCAATTTGTCATTGCTATGTCCAAAAAACTAACAAAATTAGTAACCGAGTATAACAAAAAAATTAACTTGTATAAGGAAGTTAAAACTTTGGGACCCAAATATTGTAAAAATCTTTCATAGATTTATCAATTGTCTTTCAAAGGATCAAAGTAGATGTTTACTCTTTTATAAAACAATTCATATTAAATAATAGTGAAATCTATTTTAATCAAATTCTAAAAATTTTATTTTTAATTTAATATTATGTATTATTTGTTGTTCACAATATATAATTCTTTTATAACATTATGTTTAAGACAGTTTCAAATAATGACGGTTTGTTTAATAGAATGGAAAAAATAGAAGAGAATTAGGATGGGTGAAAAAAAAGAGTAAAAATAAGTGTTTCTTTGAAGAGAAGTAAAAAATAATGAAAGAGAGAAATGGGAGAAAAACCATTGTTGCTCTAGTGCACAAACGATTATAGCAATTTGAAAATTGATCACAATGTTTTCTATCAAGCTTTTGGTGGCGAATTTTAAGCACCACTAAAAAGACGACCAAAATTGTAAAAAATAAATTAAATATATTTTTAGTAGTTATAAAATAAGTAAATTTTAATTTTAAAAATTATAAACATTATTTTTAATCTCTTTTAAAATGAGCAAAAATCAATTTTGGTTCTTGTAAAAATATTTTTATTTAATTTTCACCATTCTAAAATTTAAAGTGACTATTTTCAATCTCTAATAATCTTTTAAGATATATGAATAATATTTATTTTAAAGATTAATAAAAAAATTTAAAAATATCTTATATTAACGTGTCATATAATAATATGGAATAAAAACAAAGTTTCAAAGCTTTTGTTTTACAAATATTAAAAACATATTTAAGAAAAAAAATACACTTCTTTTACTCATTTATACTCTTTTGTTAAGAAATAAAAGATGAGTTCCACATTTTTTTTTTAATTTCTTACTCCAGTTATTTTTACAAACCAAACAATTTAAATTTTTCTTTATTTTCACTTAATTTCACTTGAGTTTCACATGTGTATTAATTACTCTTGAATCCTCGCGATTTTGGAAGTGAGAAATTCAATGTAGAACCCACACACAAATTAATCAAATTTCTCTTAATTTTATTCTATCAATCATGAATATTTTTTTAATGTCATTTCATTTTCCTCTTCCTTCTCTACATTCCACACTAATTTTAGCCCCCCAAACACACGATAACAAAATGTAAATGAAAATATCTCTTTTTTTTTCTTCTTAAAAAGCAATAACCAGGTTATATGATTATTCTATGGAACTCAAGATATTTCTCTAAGCTTCAGTATTTTGAGTTAATTATGCAACCCAATGAAAGGTCGTATATTATATAATAACACGTGCCTGTCCATTAGAAGAGCGAAAAAATTGAACGAATATGTGAAAATACAAAGTGCATCTTGGTTAAGAAAATATGTGTATGATGCAAGTATAAAAGATTTGGAGAATGAAACTGAATCCTATTATACAAGTTGAGGCATAACTGTTCAGTACTTACAAGTTTGATTTCTCTTTTTGTCTTCATCCTTTCCTTTATTACCCTCTTTCTCTTTCTTTATGCTGTGCTGTGTTCTGCTTTTGCAATGAATGCACCACCACCTTCCCCATCAATCCACGCCACCTTTCCTTATTAATACTCAAACGCTCTCTTTCTTTCACTCCCTTTCTCTCCTCTCTCTCATCCACAACCTTAATTTTCTGCATTCTCATTTCTCAAAAAGGTAATGGATCTTCGATCTTCTGCTTCTTCCATTTCCCCACACTTCAACTCTCTCTCAAAGTTACCATTTTTTCTTCTTTGGGTACTCATTTTTAGTCAGCTAACTAGTGGGTATCAGTTTATTTTCTTGCTTGCTTTGTCTAGCTGGCAATGGAGGATCCGCATCTCTGCATGTTTAGTTTGCTCTGCTTTCTGGTTATTTTACTTTTGGGTTTTTACCTTTTTGGTTTTAGGTTCTGTCTTCTGGCTGAGTTTTTAACCACAGATGGTTAAAGTGTGGTTTTTTTCCTTTTGGTTATGTGGTGGTTTTCAGTTTTGTTACTTACTCGCACTCACTTGTTGTGAATGTTACTACTTGTATTAAGCTGGTTCAGTTTCTTGGAGTTTCTCAAAATTCAAGAGAATTTTTCCGTTTTCTTCACTCTGCATATGCTTTCGGTGGTGTCATGTCAGATGTGAATTTTTTATTTTTACTTTTTTATTTTTTCTATGCCACATTCACCTCTTTCCTACTCATATTCGGGGTGGTTTTCTCACATTTATCTGATTTCTTCTGCTACGTTGTGTGTGTGTGTGTGTGTTTTTTTTTTTTTTTTGGTTGGTTTGACCCTTATTTTTTCATGGGGACAATTAGTCATTTGTTAATTTACTATTTTTTTTTTGGGTATATATGATAATTACGTAACGTTTACTTGATCTCCTATGCTCTCTTTTGGTCTCTCTTTTGATTCTTTATTGACGAGATTGTAGTCTCTTTCGTCCTTTTCTGCTTTTGGGGTTTTCACTTTATCTCTTCTCGTATTTCTGTGTAGTGGGAAACCAGACTTTTTCGTAGTTGTACTCATTTTCTTGCTTTATACTCACTTTTTTTTCTCCTCTCTCTCTCTGAACTGGCCATTGCCTCATTTTCCAAGTTTTTGCTTTGTTTTACGGAGGTAAACGAGGAAAAGGACATGAAAAACATATTTTGTAGCTAAATGCTCTTGTTCTTGTGTATTCATTCCCTTCAGATTTGTGAGTTCAAGTACATTAATTGTGTTTTTTTTGCTTCTCATATGTTCTTATTTTTCTTATGCTTTTGATGTTTTTAGCCAGAAAGGTTTTTCCTTTTTAAATCATGTTCTTCCTATTTTCTCCTTCTGCTACTAGTCTTTTTTCTACTTTTGTATTCTGGGGTTGTTTTAAATTTGAGAAAGTGAAGGTTTGAGAGAAGCTTTTTTGATGATTCTGCAAGAAAGTTGAATACAATATATCAGTTGTGTGTTGAGGCTTGCAATTGGAGATCACTGACCTTGATATTTATTTGATCTAATGAGGATCTATGTTTAGTGAAAAGAAAAAGACACAAATTTTGGGGCCTTGAACCCTTTGAAACATGAAAATACGACATGGTCTATTTTGTTCTTGTTTGGTTCAGTTTTTAATGCGAGTTTTCTGGATTAAATTATTTTTTTTGGTAGAGAGATTAAATTATTTTAAAGTCTTCGTTTCGAAGCTGTCAATGTTTGGACAGTTTTTTAGTATATTCTATTAATTGTTCACATGTTGGGATGTTTTTTTTATTCATGTAATAACTTGTTTTGCTGAGCTTTTCTCCCTTTTTCTTTTCTTTTACTTGTTGCAATGGCTAGATTTTTCGAGACCCTATATTAATTATTATAGCCACCTGTTTTCTTGTGTTTCAGCTGGTTTCATTATCCGTTCAAATAGCTTTCAGCATATTTTGAATTTGACTGCTAAGGAAAGCCCCCTTGTTTTTTTCTGAGGTGTAAAGTGGATTATATTTTGAGTTGAGAGAATATTTGGAATCAGGATTGTGTGCTTAGTTGACCAGACTTGCTATCTCAGCAATTGATGTCAGATCTACACTGAAAAAAGAAGCAACTTGACCTTATATATTCATCAGATGTCTGCATTCTGGAGCTGAACAAATGGGTTGTTGTGTCTCAACAAGCAGTAAGAGTACTTGTAGCAGCAAGAGCAATGGGGACATGGTGTCTCCATCTTGCTTAGAAATTGGATTCTGTGGCCAAAAGAGAACAAGGAGAACATTCTCTGATCATGTTATTTCTCTTCATCATTTGCCATCTTTGCCTAGCAGAATTTTCACTAATGGAAAGAGCCGGGGTTCGTGCATATTTACACAGCAGGGCCGCAAGGGCATTAATCAGGATGCCATGATTGTGTGGGAAGTAAGTATGTTCATTTTGTTTCATGTTGAACTGTGTTTAATTTTGGAGTAGTAGTTGTTTTTTGTTTCAAAATGTCAGGTTTTTCTCAATACTCTTTCACTCTTTGGTACAGAGATAAATGGTGACTCTTTTTAAATGATCTAGAATCAAAATTACTTGGGTTTTTTTTCCCGATATAAGCAGTTGTTTCTCCAGAATAAGTTAAACCAATCATGCATTTGTTGAGAAAATGTGATCTTATTGAAGACAAACTTTAATTTAGACATTGACATCCTATTTTGGATCTGTGCTTGTGCAGGATTTCATGTCTGAAGATACAATCTTTTGTGGTGTCTTTGATGGTCACGGTCCACATGGTCATCTTGTTGCACGCAAAGTGAGGGATGCCTTGCCGATTAAACTGCTTTCATTTTTGCATTCTTGTGAATCGAAGCGAAATGGTTCAGGTAAAACTTGCTTCAAAGGGAATGTAAAACCTGAGGGTGGTGACTCTGAGAAGGATTGCTCTGCTGAGGATAAACTGAACTCTACGTGGAGAGAGGCTTTCATGAAGGCTTACAAGGCTATGGACAAGGAGCTCAGGTCTCATCCAAATCTGGATTGCTTCTGTAGTGGGAGCACTGCTGTGACTATAGTGAAGCAGGTATAGTCAAAGAGCAACATTTACATTTATGTTTCCCATTCTTTTTCAGTTTTCTTAATTTCTTATCTTTTCAGGGTTTAAATCTGTTCATGGGATATATTGGTGATTCCCGGGCAATCATGGGATCCAAGGATAGCAATGACTCCATGGTGGCTATTCAGTTGACTGTTGATTTGAAGCCTGATTTGCCAAGTGTGTCATTTGCCATTACCATTTATCCTCTCTTCTTCTGAATATATGCTTTTGTCTAGATTTAACTTAAATTCAAAATTGGTTGGAAATTATTATAGGGGAAGCAGAAAGAATTAAGCGGTGCAAAGGTAGGGTATTTGCTTTACAAGATGAGCCTGAAGTGCCTAGGGTGTGGTTGCCTTTTGATGATGCACCAGGACTAGCAATGGCTAGAGCATTTGGAGATTTCTGCTTGAAAGAGTATGGTGTGATTTCTATACCTGAATTTTCTCACCGGCTGCTTACAGACAGAGATCAGTTCATTGTTCTTGCCTCAGATGGGGTAAGAATTTCAATCTCATTTCCATTTTTTTGGTTGTTTGATCAATATTACTTTGCAATTTTGAAGTTAGTTTCTGTTGGTTAGTCAGGCGTTGTGATTGCCATGAAGAAATTATCATACTAGGTTAAGATGTAGCAGTGAAATACAAAAGTGATCAATGTAGGAAAAAAATTAGATTAGTGATTAGTACTTAGTAATGAATTATAGCAGAGCATTAACCATATGGTAATAGGAAGGAAACCGAGAAGTGTCTTCTAGAAAATAGAATTTTTAACAATCTTGTCAGAGATATTAACTTGCCTGGCCAGTTGTCAATTAGCAGAGTAACAGTTGGATTACCTAGCTTCTTGACCCCTCAAGATGTAACATTTACACAATGGTATATTTGAAGTGATAAGCTTTCTTCAATATGATGAAACAAGTAACTTGCCAAAAGTGTGCTAACTAATTGTAATTTTCTGTTCTTAATTCTCTTTCTCATTCTGCTGTTTATTTAATATTTTTTATTCATGTTTTCTTTTTCTTGTTTTTTTTTTCGTGGGGGTGAGGGGTTGGAATTGGTTTGCTTGAATTTGGCTCAGTGGAATCTTTAGAGCTTCACTTGAATGAATGACGCATGAAATCTTCACGAACATTTTGCCAGGTTTGGCTATGTTATAAGAGTGACATGCTGATATCTGATTTTGCATGAGTTGATAATAAGCTGGCCACTCTTTGGATTGCGAAATATACACATTACTTTCATTTGTGAGAGAAATATGTTTTAGCATTAAATAGTACATGACTGATGTGTTTTGCAACGCTTTTCATAATGCATAATTCTGTCATGTACAGGTCTGTTTGAAAAGCATCAGAATCGTTAACCGGGTTTAAGTCAAATACAACCCATAGAGAATTTTTTGTTCTCTACTAATATTGTTCCTTGTAATGATATAATCTGGAAACGCATATAGTCAATAAATTCTTTTTACTTCCTGAAGTGGTGTGAAATAAGAAAAGTGGACGTTTTGCACCATATTATTGATTGTCTCACGTTTCGTTCAGGTGTGGGATGTTTTAAGCAATGAGGAGGTGGTTGAGATAGTATCTTCAGCACCAACAAGATCATCGGCGGCGAGGATTCTGGTAGATTCTGCTGCCAGGGAGTGGAAACTCAAGTACCCTACTTCAAAGATGGATGACTGTGCTGTAGTGTGCTTATTTTTGGATGGGAAAATGGACTCAGAATCTGATTATGATGAACAAGGCTTTTCTTCTGCCACCATCCAGAGCAACCATTCTGGTAACCCCATTGAGTCAGATGATGGACAAAAGTCTGAGCCATCATTGCAGAGGAACTTCACTGTAAGATCCTCAGAAGAAAATGAGACTAATGGAGCACCACCTGTTGATGCTGAAGATGGAACATCATCAACTGATGATCAAAACTGGTCAGGTTTGGAAGGCGTCACTCGTGTAAACTCACTAGTCCAGCTTCCTAGATTTTCTGAGGAAAGGCCAAACTCTTGAATTTGTTGGCTTCATGGGGGCTGTTTATTGTAATACCTGGCACAACACTGAATTCAAGAAAGAAATTTTTTCTAGAAGGGGTATCATTTTGGTGCTCTTTGGTTGGATAATCAACTTGTAGAAAACTAAGAGCATCTTCAATTGTGCAACTGGTGGAGTTGCCTTAACTCACTTTTGATGGGTTCTACAATGCTACATGAGATTTAAGAACTTAAATAAGTTTTTCTTTTGGTATCGGTTAATTTTAAATAAGTTCTCTCTAACAGGACAATCCCCTAAAACTAAAGATTTTTGCAATTGTTTCACAGTTCTGAAGAATTGTTACGAACATTTTGCTTTAATTATGAAATTGTATGAAAAAAGTTCTTAAGATTAAAAACTCTGCAAGCAATTTTAGTTGATGTTAATTAAGGTCACAAAAAGTAATTGATTTCAGCATGATGTAAGGCGTCAATAACGTTAGACTTTCATTGAGATATGTTCTTGCTCCAAGCCTAAGAAATTCCAGCAAATCTTGGTTGAAAATTGACATTTGGTGGTGTTGCCAGCTAATGATAACTGGGGCAACCTTAGATAGTTATTATTGTCAACTAATTATTGAGGCAACACTTGAGAGGTATGATTGAAAGGTTCATACACTGAACCGTGACCAATGATGATAGGCCTAAAAGCTGCACTATGGTCTCGACTAGGAGGAGATTAACGGAAAAGTAAAATTACATATATGATTGATTTCTTTATTTTTTTTCTTCCAAATTTTATGGGTATTTTCTGATGTCATACAAATTTCATCTTGATTTAAAAGTAAATTAGTTTTTATCTGTTGGTGTATCATTGGCACAAATAAAATTGGAATTGAATATGTTAATCAAGAATTTATGTTGATGAAAAAAAAAAAAATAGATTGAAAGACAGAGACTTTTACTAAAGATAGTTAAGTTCTCTCGTATACATTTGTGTGTGTGTTTTTTTAAAGCTATCATATACATTAGTTAGTTATCAGAAAAGTTTATAAATGTCTTGTAACAAAGGCGATAAATATTTTGTATTAATAACATTCATCTAACAAATATTCATTTTTATCATGTATTAATTTTTTTTTCGTGAGAATTTTGCATTTAATTCTTAAAACAACATTGTAGTTTTTTTTAAAAATAATTTTGAAGATTATGTATGTGTAAAAAATGATAAACTAAATAGTTTATTTTAGTTTTTATATTTATAATGCATTTAATTCTTAAAACAACATTGTAGTGTTTTATTTATTTATTTATTTTTATTTTATAATTTTGAAGATTAATGTATGTGTAAAAAATGATGAACTAAATAGTTTATTTTAATTTTTATATTTAAAATTGTGTTCACACACTTATAAATTACTCTCTTTGTTCCTTTTTAAATTTTAATATAATATTAATTGATATGTTATTAATTATATCTTTACATCTCATTTAATTTTTACTTCATTTATAAATGATAATTAACATGCATTTATCATAAAACAAAAATGAAAAAAAGATAAAATAGAAAACAACAAAATTATTTTTATAAAAAATAGAAAAATTTATTAAAATTTTTTATTTGTATAAAATAACCTTAAATTATAAAGGAATGGAGGTATAGCATAATGCAAGCATTTCAACTGGCATGAATTCCGACAGTCAGTGTGACAACATGAGATGAGCGCGACCTGTCTTCTTAAACTTCAACTCACCTTATTCAGATTCTGCCATTATTTGTGTTGGGGTCTATATGCAACTGCAATGATGAAAGTTTACACTTTTTCTGTGCACAAAGCTGTTCCAGGGCTCCTCAATATTTTGCTTACATTATATATTATCATGCCTGGATATATATTTTGGAGTTGGGTCAACGAGTCATATAATTATAATTACTAGTGGAAGTCAACATTTTTTTTTATCATTACTATTATTATTTTAAGATGAGATTGAATAGAATAAAAGTAATAATTTATAGATAAAAAAAATAATTATGTTATATAAATATCTATTTTATATATAGTTAGTTATACAAATTTTTAATTTATGATTTTGAATGAAATTTAATAATATATTTTATGTGTTACTATAATTTATATTCACATTTTTTAATAATATATTATATATATTGTATTTATTACGTAGATAAAAATAATTTTTAGTGATACATGTTGTGTTACTATATAATGTATGTCAATATATGACAATTTTATTTTTATAATGAATCTAGCCACTTAATTAATTAAATAATTTATGTGAATTATTATAACACTTTTAGTATCAAATTTAATTCTAACATAATAATTAACAAGTTTAACTTATGAGTTATAACTAATGTCTATTGAATATTGATTAAGGGAAAAATATGATTAAAATTAATTTAATATCATTTTTAAGTAAGTTTGATAAAATGAGCTTATTTTCAAATTAAGAACATTATTAAGTTTGATAATTAATTAGAATATTTTATTTAAAAAACTATATTTTTGATTTATTAAGATGAAAAATTTACTTCTTTATTTATAAAATTAAAATAACTTATAATCAAGTTAAATTTACCGTCATTTTTTTTTGACATATCATTACTTGACATCTGCAAAAATTAATATGTTTACTGATATAGGTTAATGTTCTTTCATGGTTCTGAAAATTTTATACGTATTAAATAATAATTTTAATATTTACACAACAGAGTAAAAAAGATAGAGCAGAGGTGAGAAACAAGGTATATATATATAATCCGATCACTATAAGATAATTCTTTCTTTATTTTAGTTTTAGAGGTTTTAAAGAATAATTTTGAATTTGATCGATTTAAAAAAAATAATAATAATTAATTTACAACGTATAGAAGAAACTCATATACATGTGATATTTTATATGAATTATAATTATATATGAACTAACCTTACATCTAAAATAAAAAGGAAAAGGAGTGAGATTCACAAATTTTTTATTTCTCACCTCTCATTTCTTACACACTAAACATACATACTTATCTTTACCCTCTCATTTCTTGCTTATTTCTAGGTTACCAAATATAGTGTAGGTGAAAAAGTTAGAATTCCAATGGACAAGAAATTTGAAGAAGCCTTCCTTTGGTGAACAACTTAATTGGTGTGCTTAAGTTAAGATTGGGACTCACATAACTCATCATTATTGCTAACATATAAAAGTAACATTGAGAGTTTTGATCTATTATCTTACATTGATAGGATCTTCTTTAGAAAAAATTGATGAGTAGAGTATTTTCATGATATTGAGTCTATTTAGATAGAAACACTTTTAAAAGTATTTCTATTGATGAAAATAACAAATATTTTCTAATAAAAAAATTCTTAAAAATAATTTTAAACTTGTATCAAAATAAACTCATTCACATTTATTATCTGTCTTTTCATGTATTTTTGAATTCTCCAAAATCATGAGTAATTAAACTCACTCTTATTAAGAATTTATGTAATTAAACTAAATTCATGCACTTTTTATATATTGTTTATTAAAGTTTTAATTTACTTAATAGTCCCTCCTTCTTACTCTTAATGCTCTTTGTTAGAGTGTTGCCGAATGGACTAGAGCTATCTGCATGAATAAATACATGTATGTGAGTTACTCTATTCTTTTATAGGCCAATTATTTTGTGGTTCAACGACCTTGTTAGCCTATCAGGTTGGGCCAAGCCAAATTGACCCAGTTATTTTATTTTCAATTTTTATTTAATTTTACAAAGAAACACTGGAAAAATACCAGGTCAAATAGATCTTAGGCTTCGGGATGAAAATTAAATGATTTACTAATTGGTCTCTTTCACGATTTTACTAGTGTGATGAATAAGGTGCAATATAATTGATGGATACTTTTGTCTCTTAAATATGTAGTGAGAAATTTGATTCTTAATTCATATGTATAAAGAACATTTGTTGGGGAAAAAAAACTTCACTGGTGTGCGAAGAGGACAAACTCCGAGCCTCGGTACATGGCGCAATATTAATCAGAGTCACAGTTATGCTCAAGTTAGTAACAAGTAACGCGTAAAAGTAGAGAAGATAACATAAGAATGGAGCCAAAACAATTCCAAATGTTACGGTGCATAAATCAGCCACGTGAGGGCTCCATTTACTGGCCGCTATAACATTGGTGACCATATCTTGCACAAATAGTAAGTAATAAAATCTTGTCCTAATGTTCAACTACCAAGTGGCTTTATCCCCATGCACCTGAATCACATTGCTCTTGCTCAACAAGTACACTTAACTCACCGCCAAGTAATGATATAAATAATGCATATCCACTCCCTTGAGATTCAACACAAAGGTGACAAACCAATTAAATTGAAGACATCTGAGTCATACCCTCCTTGCTTCAACACTTTTCATATCTGAAAATGGCTTTCAAAGCTTCTTCTTTCCTTGCCCTTGTTCTCATTTCCAATATCCTCCTTGCCACAACAGTTGCTGGACGCAGCATTGCCGAGAACACAAACTCAGAGGACAAGAAAGAGCCTCAGTTCTTGTTCAAGTCTGATGGTAGAGTGCATATTCCAGGCATTGGACATTTAGGATTTCCACCTAAACATCACTTTGCACCTCATAATCCATTTACTGGTGGCAATGGTGGAGCAGGAACAGGATCAGGATCAGCATCAGAACCACGATCAGGATCACCAGGTCGCAGTTATGTTCCAGGTGGTGATGACACTTTTGTGCCAAACCCTGGTTATGAGGTTCCCATTCCTGGCAGTGCTGGTAATGTTCCAACACCAGTTCATCCATGAGTTAACTCATGCATGATTGTAATGCATGCATGGCTAGAGGTAGTTAGTAAGTCGATAATGTTAGAGAGTGCGATGCTAGCATTTTTCTGACAGATAAATAAGTGTGCTCCTTTGTGCACGTTGGTAGTGTATATGGTGATAATCATCATGGATTAATCGCCAATTGTCGAGTCTTTCGGTTTGTTTTTCCTTGTAGTCTTGTTTTAAGCTGAATTAAGTATGATGTAAGGTTTTTGGCTCTTCAAATTAAGTAGTTGCTTATGAATATGAGGCCTAGAAAATAATTTAGTTGTTGTGGTTCAAATGTTTTGACACCCTCTTCATGTCCCATTTTATATGTCTCAATCTGTCTCTTAACTTTTGATATTCTCTTTTCATGCACATTATTACATGTTTCTTCATTAGTGGGGATGTATTACAGCAAAGGTGTCAAATAATTATACCTTGTAAAGGCAGGAATGTAGGGTTTAAACCTATATCTGTACTTTATAGACTAGTATGGGGCCACGCAGCACATGGTGAATCAATGCACACTTTGTATTTAAGCAACAAATCACACTGAACAAGTGTTGACATTGACAATAGCACAAACTGATATGAATTACAAGGACATGATATTCCCTTGATGCTGAACACATATCACGGATTATGTCACCCTTCAATTTCACGCTTCAAATCAACCAACTGGCCTTAATTCACATACTGTACGGAGAACAAATTAAAACCTTCGCTATAGCAGAAAAATCATTTATTTTCCTCAACATCTCACCTCATACGGAAAGACAGAAGTTCAGTACATAAATACAAAGAAAGTATGTGTGCTATCAGAAAACGAATAAACCAAACCACTGCAAGTTTATCACATGCAAAATAAGAGTTATGCGTCCCTTTGACACCATTGAAAAAGTAGAAGAAATTAAGAAACATACGTACACATACTCTGCTGTCATAATCAATCAGTTTGCATTTGTATTGATCGGTTATCATAGATTTAGAAGAAAGAAACATACCTACACATACTCTGCTGTCATAATCAATCAGTTTGCATTTGTATCGATAGGTTATCATAGATTCACTAAAAGGTTAGTATCAAGAAAAATTCAAGTTTCTTAAGAGTCTAATTTAATTTTATAAAATTAGTTTATAAGATAAAAATTGTCTTCCATTTTTATATATTCTTTGTATGTCATATTTCTTATCAACATGTGACTTGAATTTTTCTCTATATTTCATTTGAGATGTGAAATAAAATTAAGTTAACTAAATTACATAGGATTTGCATTCTCTTTTGTTAATTACCAACATGGTAACTTTGTGTTATGAGAGATAAACATGTAAAGTAAATGCTAAGACTCTACACAAAAATTACCATAATTATTTTTGTATATTTCTCCCTCGTAACATTGACAATTGATGTTAACAAATTACATGAAAGAATCTATATATATTAAATTAGGTAATTCTTACAATGCTTTAGAGTTGTAATTGGGTAACTAATTTGATCATATTTTATGTCACTCCCTATCCAAGTATGACATGCTAGTAGCAGATCAAAACTGCACATGTCAAATCTTCCATATTTGGAACTAGATCTGCCATTCGGCATGTCATGGTATCCTGCCAAAATAAAAAGTAAGCCAAGTAGATGAAATCCAAAGCATGCACCATACACATGTACAACGTCTTGGAATGTAACTTTAGTAAGCATGTTACAAAAACTAGAAGAAATCAAGAGCCTGAAAAATAATGAAACTTTCAAAATGAATACTTCAATTAATTCATTCAATTTAAGAGCATGGAGGTAGAAAATCGACAAGATCACCAATAATGATATTCATTGATCTACAATGAAGCAAGACTTCCCCTTCCTTAACCAATACCAATAAATTTGCATTATAATTCTTCAGAATATTCCATTGAGAGGCACAATCATACATCCTATAACTCGTAATTTCATTCTGTTATATTTACTTTACAAGAAAAGTCATTTAAATAAAATGACATCCCTCTAATATAACATGAAAATACCCAAAACAACTAGAAACTAGCTATGTATAGGTTAACATTTTGGGTAAAAAGATAATAATTTAAAGTTAAACCTGAAACACAAACAAAATGCCATAAAGGATCAAAAGAGAGCAACCCTTATTCAAAATTTTAAACATAACATCTGTAGCATCTAAATGTTGAGGAGAGAAATGCAATTTTAATGGCACGTACAACAAATAAAAAAGAAGTGGGGTAGGTACCTGGTTAAAATAACAATAAAAAATTGTTGGTTATGTGGTTTTGGAAATCAAATGCCCATAATTTTGAAGATGATGAAGGAGAGGAAACCAAGGAAAATCAAGAGAAAAATGTAATCAACGAAGACAAAGAATCCGGTCGATCCATGATTCCTTTTCTTGATTTTTGACGCCGAATTGTCTATTTCTTCGAGTTTCGCCATTGGAACGAATTGAAGCCTTGTCTCCTCAGATAACTATTTATTGAATCGCATGAAACAAAGAAACACAAAAAAAAAAAAAAGAGAAATACCATATTTCTATTTGCGTCTCTCACCTCTATTCTTCATGTGCACTGTCTCATTTTACAATTATCATACTTTGCGTATTACAAATTTTGCATTTTGTTCCATCTGTTCATTAATTTATCAATAATCTCTAATGTTTAGTGTATAACATTAAAAAAAAATCTCTTGATTTAGTGTCCATAATTTTTTTTGACTTTTTTTTTTATCTCTTATATAAATAATTTGTTCAACTATTCTACTATTTTAAAGTTAATTGTGCATTTTTTTTAAGGGAAGCATAAAGTATTCTTTTTCACTGGTGTTATATAATGAAATGATAATGGACATATTTTGGGCTTTTATTTTATTTTTGTACGAGATGACTTGTAAGTTGTAATAGAATGGGCTATTTATGTGAGCACCTATTATTCACACATGTTTTTTGTTCGTTTTTCGTCAATTCAGTTTTCGTTATGCATCATGGGTAGGGCATTTTACAACAATATCATTGTTTAGTTAACGATATTGGAATTGTTACATTACTCCCTTTTAAGAGCAAACATATATATAGAAACACAACAAATAGAGAAAAATATTTGGATTTTTTTTAATACTAATAGTAAAAATAGTGGTAGGAATTGAGGTAATATACACCAAGATTCAATGATTAAATCTTATTATTGTCATTGTAATCTTGATATAACGATCCGACAAGTCTTTATATTTTACAATTCAACGATTAGTGGCGAAAAACATAAATTTAACTATCCAGAATTAACATATAAGTTGTATTTGGATATACATGTATTTATGTAAAAATTTTATTAACAATTGAATAATAAAATAAATATCTTAGTGACACTACAACTATAACTATAAAAACATATATAAATACAATAATCCAGTATTGGAAGCATAAAACTAGATTGTTGGTCAAGCAACAACTATAAAACAAATGCTACACTAGGATTGTAACATCCTAATTTTTATAACTATTTATCTATATAATTTTTGTAAATTATTATATGTTTTATTGTGATAAATGTTTATTAAACATTATGTAAGTTACTACAAATGAAATTTATGTAGTATTATCTAGTGAGATTTTCTAAATTCAGTGACATATATTTAATTATCTAATTTGACTATTTCTTGGACAACATTGAGAGCATGCTGTAAAATCTGAAAAACCTAATTTAAGAAAATTTAAGTAATCTTTAATCTAATAATAATTTATTGAGTGTAAATTAAGAATAAATATAATTAAGAGAGAAAATCTCTAAATTAAAATTTATAGAAATTCTCTAAGGATATAACTTGAGAAAAATTATTTTGCTAAAACTTCAAGCTAGAAAATTATGGAAAAATGTTCAGTAGGATATAAATAATTTTATTATCAATATATTATGCTTAGAACAATTAATAAAAATGTATAGTTAGGTTAAACTAAAATACAAGTCTCAACCAATCAAATTATGACACATAATCAAATTCTAATTAATTTAATTAAGATTAATTAGCATGATTAAGAGATGATCAAAAGACTTAATCTTATATTTCGAAGGTGAATATTCTAATGATGATATTAGTTTATTAAAACTATAATTAATTTTTAAGATATTATAATAATTCTATAAAATTCTAGAAAATTCTACAAAACTCTCCAAAGTAGATACATACTCATCAAATTATTTAATGGGTAGGAATCTTAACTATTAAGATACTTAAATAACTCTAAAATTTTCTATAAAATTCTACAAATTAAAATGGAAAAATCTAGAATAGATTGAAAGCTTAACTATTAAGATATTTAAATAATTCTACAAAATTCTAGGATGTTTTATAAAATTATACAAAAAAAGGACAATAATCACCATGTGATTAAAATGAATTGAAAACTTGACCATTAAGATAACTAAATAACTCTACAAAATTCTAGAAAGTGGACATCTCATCACCATATGATTAAATAAATTGGAAACTTAACTGTTAAGATACTTAAATAATTTAAAGAAATTCTAGAAAGTCCTATACATATCTACAACATGGACATCTAATCACAATGTCATTAAAAATTTTAGAAAATATCAAGAAATATCTACAAATCTAGAAGATTTAATAATGGAGGTGGAGACTAATATAAATAGGTGAAACCACCCCAAAAAGCTCACAAAAAAACCTTTTACAACAAGACATAAACCAAGCCAAAGAAACACCCAAAAATACTTCATCTTTGATGTAACCAAGGAGGAAAATAAGGAGTAAACAACTAAAATTTCAAGAAAATTGGAAGAAAAGAAGAAGATAAGAGGAAGAAAAAAAAAGTAACCTTTTCACACAACAGTTCCCCCTACACCCGGGGGCATGAGGGTATTAAACATAGGGAGTGGTTGACGTACGACCGGTCCAAGTTTGGTCTTGGAGCTTGCGAGCCTTGTCAGAAATCACACCCAAGGTGATAATCGGCCCTAACTTTTGCGCAGCCCCCTTAGTGGGTTTTCTGCCGGGCCTTCATTTTTGTAGAACTCGTGAGGTATGGGATGTCTTTATTTTGTCAAACCCTAGTCATGTTTGGATTCATGTGATTACTTTGTTATCCTTTCCATGCTATTACCGAGTAACATCTTTTTCACAAATACATTTTGTTTATTAAGGGTTGATGGATGAGGCCTAGAATGAATATTTAAAGAGAAGAAAAATGAAAGAGTGTTATGGCATTAAAAACAGTATTTCCAATTTACACGTGCCCCTTTAGCAAAGCTCGGAGGCTTGGGCATGCCTCGAGTTGGTGATTCGT